CGTTTACAATTAGCGTTAGGCAAATGACTACATTTGTATTCTTTTTCTTCACGAACAAATCCTGGATCCGAAAATTCAATTTTATTGATATCAATTTCAAAAGCTTTATAACTAGCATTTCCAATAGAACCATCTGTACCAAATTTGAAACCTTTCTCATATTTTAACTGTAACAAATCAAATTCTGCTCTTTCTTTAATATATAAACAATGGGTATCATTATCACGAGTTTCGATAATTCGTAAAATATTTAATTTAGACTCGTCTTTTCGTAAAATTAGGGCCCCATTTTTTACTGTAAAATGACAATTAGTTCCCATGTGAAAATCATATTCTTCAAGTTTAGTTCGAATAAAATCGAGGGTTTCCTTTCTAGGAAAATACATATAACATTCTGTCCTTTTATTTTCTAAATCTGATTTAACCATTGTAATGCCAATTTCATCATCCATTGTTGAGGAAAAAGATGAGGAAAAGGAAGCATCTACTGTTGGAGAAAAAGAATCACTCATTGCTGAGGAAGAAGTACAAAATAATTCTTTATAATTATTATTTCCATTTTCTGTAGATTTATTAGGTGATTCACTTAGACGATTTTCATTCTCAACTAATTTTGAAATATAGCATTATATTAGTCAAAAATTTTATAAATAATAGATATAATAAACATTAGGCCATACAAAATTTTTAAAATTTTTAAAAGTGACCCGGCAACCCGGCTTTTAATTTTATTTTCAAAAAATTTTATATAAAAAAAACATATAAAATTTTTTATAGATTTTTTTAAAAAACTCACCCGGATAGTAAATATACTTAAAATTTTTTTAAAAAATTTGTAAGTTTGACCCGGCCGGGTTATGAAAACCGAAACATTAAGTTTGTATGGCCTTAACATACGTGTTGAATTTGGTTCATCGCTCCATATTATTATTCGATTGCGGCCACATTCTTTAGCTTTTTTCGAGGCGTTGTCTGCATGAAGGAGTAAGTCGTTACAAGTTTTTACTGACGAATTCATTTCAGAAACTCCAATGCTAAGTGTAACTGATAATTTGATTTTATTATAAATAAACGAATGGGTTTCAACAGAATCTCGAATTTTTTCTGCAATTTCAAAGGCCAACATTTTATTAGTATCTTTGAGAAGAAGAGTAAACTCATCTCCACCATATCTCGCAAAAATATCTTCAGAACGAACATTATTATTTTGAATTAATGTAGCTAACTCTTTTAAAGCGTAATCTCCAGCCATATGATCATTTTGATCATTGATACTTTTAAAATGATCTAAATCAAAAAACAATAAGCTCAAATCCCGTTTGAATTCTTGAATTCATTCTCTAATTTTTTCAAAAAGTAAGCCTTATTATAGATCGACAAAGATTCATCTATGCGACTTTTATATTCTCCAGTGGGAAGATATTGAAATTCGCTACGTCCCATTGAAATCACGTCATCTCTTATTAAAAGACGGGAGGTACGAAATCCAAGTTTTTCGCCATTAACAAAAATCCCATAATCTGAACCTAATTCTTTAATTTCGACTTGTCCCTGATAATTTACAATAATTCTTGCGTGTCGTTTGGCAATTTCCTGATCTTTTACAATGATGTCGTTCGAATTACCCCTTCCTACAGATATTTCGCCTGGAGGAAGGGAAATGTATTTATTTAGAGCAGAGCCTTTAATAACCTCTAAACAAGCCGAATTTTTCGACGTAAACC